ACACACACACACACACACACACACACACACACACACACACACACACACACACACACACACACACACACACACACACACACACACAGTTAACCCTGACAAACAAAAGGCTGCTGGAAAATCTTGTAAAAAAAAAAACTAATGAAGCCCGACAGCCTGACATGTTATTAGAGTGTTTACTTACATCATATGTGCAAACAGCTGTTTGTGTGCATACATGCTTCTCCTGTGCCTTACCTGGTACATGGCGTACTTGGGGATGATCTTGATTGTCCGCAGGGCAGTTCTCAGGTGCATGAAAATGATCGCTACAGGCCACAGGGCTATGATTGTCAAGATGCCCACGAATGGGTTGATCCAAATGGCAGCTCCGGTGATATTCAACTGAAATGAATTCAGACACACACACAATCACACAGTTATGTGACTGTCTCAATGACTTTGCAAGACATTACATTGACTTGCATCGATTTCCTGGAGACTTATTCAAACCTTAACCATACTTACTACTTGTCTAACTCTTACCTTAACCTCAACTTAAACCTTACAGTAAAAAACATGTCCTCACCTTAAAGTTTTATGTATTATGTTATTGGGATTTTTTGTCCCCATAAGAAAGACAAGTCCCCATAATGTGAATTCGTAAATAGGCATAGATATTGTCATATAAATATGACATAGGAAGATAAAAATGTATCTTTGCATTGCACAGAATACATGACGATAATTTAATACACAAAATGTGTTCAACCGGAGCAATTAAGTCTAATATAGAAAATTCAGATTTTTATAGACACTAAAAAATGAAAAGCAAACAATATAAACAATGTGTTTTTATGAGTCCTCAGTTTCCTACAAAATAACTGGAAAATAAATCGGAAAAATAATTTAGAGATAGAGGCAATTCAGAATTTCCATGTAATTAACTCACGTCAGTCAGTTCAAAGGTCCCGTTGGTCCAGAGGACAATGGAGAGGATGGTGAAGACTGTCTTCATGAGAGCGAACTGGAAAGAGCCAAGTTTGAGCAGGAAGAGCGAGCGCCTGGAGTGGGAACAGAGGAAACTATTTAATGGCAGCTGCTAATGACATAACGTGGGTTTAGTCTCAAAATGCATTTAAAAACTGAATCAAACTTGGAAATCATGGACGGCCCCTGAACCAATCCTGGATTATTACAGCAGGATGTTTTGAACAACATAGCCTTGGCCTCATCTTTATTGGCTCGTAAATAAATTGAAAACAATATTGTCCCTCTGACGCTCATCACCACCTGAACAGACTGTACACATCAATTTGTGTGTGGAAACTAGAATTACTGCCCTGCAATTGAATGCCTCTGTCAACAAGTGCAGTCTCAGTTTTCATAAATTTTTTTTCCCAGTCGTACACGAGGTCACTGTGACCTTTGACCACTAAATCGGTTAATCAACGAGTCCGGGCGAACATTTGTACATTGAACATTTGATTCTCTAAAGGGATTCTAAAGATGAAACGCTCACGCAGCATGACCATGACCTTTGTTCCCCAAAATCTAACCAGTTGGTCTTTGAGTCCAAGTGAAAGTTTCACCCAAATTGAAAAAAATCTTGAGATATTATGTTCATAAAAATGTCCAACAGACGTATGGACAACCATTAAACACTTATTTAAACTGCGCAGACGGTGAGACATAGTGAGTCCCCCTCCCCAACAGGGCTGAGTGACCAGGAGTGTGTTCAACTTGCTTTCACAGAACAGAAGCGTACATCTAATCTGAGTCCAACACTCGGTGGATCTCTGCGTTTACACAATCTTCAAACAAGCAAACAATTACATAAGAGAGCGGCGCATCAGCCTCCTCAAACAACGAGTGATAAGACGCTGCACAGGATCTGGACTTAATTAACAGAGCGGCATGTTTCAGTGAGCACCTCAATAACACAGTGACTCAACATATAAGCAGCAAACGTACAACCGCGAGAAACACCGTCTCCCTTCATATCTCTGTTGCTGTTTTAAATACAAACAGTTAAAGGAATAGTCAGGACATTTAGTTTGTTTTCTTGATAAGAGTCGAGACAAGAGGTTGATGCAAAACTTGTCTCAATTCAGGTGAAGCCTCATTTGAAGGTCTTCTGTCGACTGAGCAAAATCTCAAATATAAGCTGAAACAATTGTGTGCAATATTTGCCTGTATTGATTTTGTCACTCCTGACTTTATAGTTGATTCCATACATCGTATATAAAGAGAGACAGCATGAAGACCCCCCGAAAGAGAAGCCAAAGCGTGTACTCCATAAACCCCGCTGCCTCCATGTTAGTGGATGGGACGTAAGCCGCAGTAAAAAGTCAAAGTACACATCAAATATGTTTTTCTTCAAGATGGTTTCTGACTCTGGCTCCAAATGAGTAAGATGGCAGCGTTTGAAACTGGGACTTTTTTGCTTCATTTCTGGACAATGGTAGGAAGTGGAAACATGTCACCCATCATTATTTACAGTCAACGTTTGATGTGTTGGTACGAAAACTCTTTGGGGCTTTGCCAGTTGTGCTGTGTTAAAGCCTCCCTGACAAAACAGAGCTTTTCTTCCATCTGATAAATCAACTCTTCTGTAGATGAATTGAGCAGATTTCATGCTTCACTCTCCATCAAACATTTCTGCTGTCATCCAGCGACAGCCAGGCTACTGCTGACAGCTGATATTCACCTCTTCTGGCGGCACAAAGATATCGATCATGAAAACCAGTGTCTGTACATGTTTACCCTGTGATGGCGACATGCGGCAGGCAGAGGCAGCAGCAGCAGCACGGCCCTGTGCTGATCTTCAGTTTGTGTTTCCCTGCCCGCATCAGGAAAGCCTTATCACCACCCACCTCCTCCAGCATCAGGATCAGGAACTTGAACACCACAATGGCAAAGTAACTGCGTAGAAATAAAGAACGAGGGATGAGAAGTGAGGGGAGAGGAAGAGGAGAAGACACACGAAGGAGGAAGATCAGTGGAGGAATATTACACATCAGTATCAATGACATGGCTAGTTTCCCATGTGATCTGTCTCCGTGGGGCTCTGCCGGTGAAATAATACACAGCACAGTGAGAGATGGAAGGTGAGAAAGCGAGGGAGGCAAAGAAAAGCAGACCCACCAGGCAGAGGTCATATCAGTAAACATGGTCGCTCTGGGGACCCACATCCCCACACAGGACATGGTGGCGATAACCTGAGAAAGAGAAAGGAGGGAGGTGAACGTCATGCGAAGATAAAACATGATCCAAACTGTTTTCTCTGTCTCTCTGCTCTTTTTATTGCATTCATCTTACCGGCGCAGCCCCATTCACCCAGATCATTACACTCTTCTTATTGGACGGCACTTTCTTATAGATGTAGATACATTCCTCTATGAAGAGCAGCATTGACAACACTGCCATGAAGGTGAGGATGGAGTACAGGATTTTGCCAAAGATGTCCAAATCTGGAGGGAGAAGAGGGAAAGTCCCTCAAATGATCATTTTTCATCTTTCATTTTTCTGGACTCAAACGTCGTCCTGCAAAATCCAAACCTGATATATGAACTTTGACTGTGCTGATATATATTAAATATAAACAGTTCCATGCAAGTATATTGGGAAAACAGCAAGTTATAGGTCAAGTTTCAGAAGATCAACTTTAGAAAATATTCAATGAAAAGAAAATACATTTTCATGAATTCAAAAAAGTTTGGCAGGTTGAATAAATTATTAATAACGGGTGGCTTCAAAGTAAAAGATTTTAGGTTTACAATCATAAGAAAAACTGGAGGCCCAACAATGAGAATTACAATCACAGGAAAATGTGGTTAAATCCAAAACTTCTTGCAACATGAAAAAAACTACAATATAAAGTTTAACGAGATTTCTTCCACCTTTAAAAATGTTTGACAGACAACTAAGAAAACTTTCTTTGGGCCATTGGACTTTCTTTGAAGACATGCAACGAAGTGACCATACAGTGAAACTGAAAACAGGAACAAAAGACCTCACATGCAGACTGTTGCAGACACGTATACATGGGAACAATCAAAATTGTACAAACAGATGTGCCAGACAAAGTTATATGAGGGTTATATTAGGCTGAGTCAATGGTTTCAACATGTTGCCAGTGATCCACTACTACCTACGTCAATGATAGTCAGGAATCCAGACAGTCATTAGCTGTGATTGGTAGAGAAAAGACAGTGAGCGAGTGAGTGAGTGAGTGAGTGAGTGAGTGTGTGAGTG